CGTGTCCGTTGGATGCCTTATCGTCGGACATCCGGCGGAGGTATGATTCTGTGACATTTGTATAGGAAAATGGACGTCAATTGGACAGCAATCGGACAAATTATGGAGATCCATTGGACATGCGGCTGTCCGAAATCCGTTGCCCTATGGACGTCCAATGGATTTAATAATGCTGCCTGGGAAAAAACGACAGGAGCCGGTCCGCCACCAGGCTCCACAGTAAAGGCTACAAAACTCCTGCTAACTTCCATGCTAAAAAAGGGGTTTTTTAGTTGGTAAGAATCCAACACTACCCAGGGTTCGGAACACTGGGTTTCTTCGCAAAGATTTTTATTCCTCCAGCCGCCGGGCAAACCAAAAAAGACTTCCCCTTAACCGCCACCTGGAGACGCGGCCGATGGGTTGCTCAACCTGCACGGGAAATTAAGTTATTTAAATCAAATATTTTGCTCAAAAGCTAATTTTTTTTTAAAAGTACCTTCGAAAACCATTTATAAATTCCAGAAACGGAAGTTTAAGGACATTATTTATAAAAATTTTTATATTAAAATTATCTATCGTTTAATTTTTAAATCTACTGTTTTCCCTATCCATTCTACCGCGTTCGAAGTTCTTGGTCTGGCAACGCTGGTCCGAGACCTAACCTACTTCTTCTTCTTTTTTTTCTATGGGATTGTTCCTCAGCTGAGACCTAACCTAAACATTGCGACAGACTGCGTCTGCGAATCGTTTTGTTTTGGTTGTAGGAGAAAATAAACTTGAGCCAAAATGCAGAATAACTTTCAGCAACAAAATATTGTGAACCAACCAGTGGGACATCTGACCCAGAATAACGGTATTATTGGAAATTCTATGCCCCATGAAAATCAAGTATCAGGCCACAACAATATGACCGATTCTCAAGCTATGCAAGGTCTGTAAATGTTTGTTTTTATTAATTATTTGTAATTGTTTCATTGCAGGTGCACACACACAGCACATGCAACAGACCCATGGACAAAATTCTGCTATGATGAATAAGCCCGCCACTCAACATGTGAATAGTGGAGAAGGGCCCCAGATCGTGTCCAGGCAAAAGCTACAAGACTTAGTGAGAGAAATTGATCATACAATAACTCTTGAAGATGATGTTGAGGATATTCTTTTATCGTACGTTGATGACTTCGTTGATAGATGTCTTAATGGGGCAACGTTGATTGCAAAGAATCGAAATGGCAATAGCATTGAGGTAAATCAGTAACTGTACTTTAACAACACTTGACGTAAAAATAATTTTGTTTAGGTTAAAGATGTTCAGCAATTTCTCAATCGTAATTACAACATGTGGACACCTGGTTTTGGAACAGACGAATTGAGGCCATATAAGAGAAGTCTTACCACAGAAGCTCATAAACAGAGAAACGCTCTCATAAGAAAAACTGTAAAAAAATACTGAAATAATGTAGTA